CATTCATTTTTGTAACTGTATTTATGTCTAACCCAAACATTTTCTCTAAAATTACCATCAGTGGTCTATAGCTTACCCTAACCCGAACCAGAACTTAAACCCAACTAGTAAAGCAAAGCAAAGCTGCAAACGAAGTGAGGATGCTCAAGAGGTCCTCACTTTACATCAAAGATCTCACTTTGATGGTAATTATGGTACAAATGGTCCTCACTCTATAGTATAAACAAGTACACACACAGACACACACATAGAAGATTAATAAATAAACTGCAATGTATTTTTCTTTAGCTATATTATATATTAATGTAGCAACAGAAGAAGAAAACAGATTACTTGATAAATATTTCATTTTACAATGAAGAAAATATGTATTTTTCTCGTCAGTCAGTGTGAATTGATTTTAATTTGTTATTTAAGCAGATTAAAGAATTTTGCAGGTATGGTAACATTTCTGATCTGTTGTGTTTGTGTTTGCATATAACCTCAGTCTGGGATGATGGAGAATGTAGACAGAACTAACCTGCTGCTGTGTGTCTCTGGCTCGGCTGACTTCAGCTTTACCACGGCCCTTTCATCACAGAAAATGTGTTTATTTGCGTCTTGCACAAACTTTTTTCCTTTTCCCCTCCATCTGCTCCAGCCATCTCTTTCTCCTTTCTTTCTAAAATGTTTGCTGACTTTACCTTTCCTCTTTTTTATGTGGGAGGGGGAGAACACCGGGCTTCCTCGTCTGCAGGTCCATGCTCTCCCACTGCACACAGCCGCTGTGTACAGGCAGGCGGAGGGAAGGTTGATGCAAAAATGTGAACTGGATAATAACCTGGCATGTCCTTGTGAGCAACACCATGGGTTGTGGTCAAAACGTGGACTGGATTTATATCAATATATGTATTTTAATGATGATAAACTGGACCGGAGTTGAGTTTTTGGTGTAAAGGGCTCGACACACAGGAGGCGACGTCGCTCGCTCTCCATTCATTTCCTATGGAGCCTGTGCGGTGAGGCGACAATCGCTTGCCCTCCTCCAGCTAATCGACTGGCAAAAATAGTGCATGTGAAATTTCGCGCTCGTACACGTAGACGTGCACACGCGAGCATGCGATG